CATGGCACTTCTACGCTACATTTCTTTTACCAACGTTATTGCAAAAACGAATCTCTTTGTAGGGTAAGTGTGTCAATTATTGTACGTCCATCTCTTGATTACTGTGCCCTTACGTATAAAAATAAGAATTTGCATAAACATCGCGATCTACTGATCACAGTAATAGAGGCACAGTAATTCGTTTAAAAACTGTTTTGTTCATTTTGTTATACATTTTGTGTTCCGTACACGTTTCAATTATGAAAAAAAAATATATATATATAATATTATATAATATTTTATACATTATTTATATAATATATTACTTATATTTATATATCTCTCTTTCTCTCTCTCTCTCTCTCTCTCTCTCTCTCTCTCTCTCTCTCTCTCTCATGTTTATCAGTCAAATCAGGATTCTCCTTTGTTTTTTGGTTTAACGTTTTAAATTCTGTTCGATCCGATTTTCTTCTCGTTGGTTTTGCTAGGCAAATACGGAGCTGCACAAATAAANTTATAATATATAATATATTATATATTTAAATTTATATCCCTTTCTCTCTCTCCCTCTCTCTCTCTCTCTCTCTCTCTCTCTCTTTATATATATGTATAGTGTGTGTGTGAGAGAGAGAGAGAGAGAGAGAGAGAGAAAGGGAGAGAGAGAGCGAGAAAATTATATAAAAGACGTCAACATATAATTGAAATATTTAAGAAGCGCAATATATTATATATAGGTAAGAAGAACTATTTAATTTGTCGGTAAACTTCGGACATTACTGTAATGGACACAGTAATTGACACACTTACCCTTCCTGTTATACGTTTCATTGTCTGGAAACTGTTCGACGCAGTATGAAAAGTTGCATGAAGAGGCTTCTGCCAATTTCATTTTCCCTCTCCCCGTCACGTTCTCCCCATGGCGAAATAATTAAAGTTTCCCCGATACCGAAGCAGCGGACTCACGTCTCCGTTTCTGATTGCGTTCCACGAAGCCCCAGTAATATGCAGCTGCAGAGTGTTAATTCAATCGTCGGTGTAATCTGTTGCGAATGGCAAAAGTGCCGCGACAACTCCATGTTTCTCTATCCTTGTTGCGTCGGAAATGAAAAAACTAATCCACGTTGAGGCTAATCGAAGACGATTTACAACGGGGACAGTGATATTTCGCCAGCGAGCGGCAAGCTGAACGTCGAAAAACGAAAGTGAAGCTATCGCAAACATTAATCTAACTACGAACGTGGAACGGCGACGCGTTCGTTCAATTAATATCGAAACGCTTTTCTGCATTTTCATGCGCTGTGCGCAGAGTTCGGTGACTTTTATTTTAAATAATAAATAACGAATGACAAATTAAATTCATATGTCATTTGTGAACGATAATTCTTTGTGTAACTAAAAAATCGTTCAAATATTTTGTTTATTAATTCTTATTTGCAAATTGAATGGTATTTGTTATTTGGATTTTAGGGAAAGACAAATAATAATATATTATATAATATATAATAATATAATATAACATATTAGTAAAATAGTATATTGTAATTTATATTATAATTTATATTTGCATTATTATTATTATCATTATTATATGTTATAACAATATTATATTAAGATATTTTATACATTACTTTTACATATAAAATGTTATTTCTTATTCGAATTTAGATGAAAAGCAAATACAAATACGTAATTTTGTATTTTTTTCATTTATCATGTAATAAATATTAATTTCCATTTATTATTATCATCCAAGATTTTGCGGTTTTTTTCGAGAATTGAATGATATCGCTTAGAGCGTTTGAAGACCATTATTTGTTAACTATGTCGTGTGTTCGACGCGTTGTAACCAATGTATATATGCTTCATTATAACATGTAATTTTAATTGAATAAAACGTTCATTTATTAAAATATCAAATTATAATTAAATGTATGAACATAGTTAAAATAATTTATTAAATGTTATATATTATATAACATATAATATATCTTATATTTAATAAGTCGTACATTTAATAAAATATCGAATTATAATTAAATGTATGAATATAGTTAAAGTAATCAATGTATTATATGCTTCACTATAACATGTACCATTAATTTAATAAGACCTATATTTATTAAAATATTAAATTATAATTAAATGTATAAATATAATTAAAACAACCAATGTATTATATGCTTCACTATAATATCTACCTTTAATTTAATAAGACGTACATTCATTAAAATATCAAATAATAGTTAAACGTTAACTATATGTAAAGTTCCTTATCTTTTGCCGGTGAGTGTACATACAACGAAAAAGTGTCTGTTGAACGATACAATTTAATTGAATACAGTCAAATGACTTTATCGAAATGCAAATTGCCTAATCACGAATATTGTTCTACTGAAATCTGTGATTGATCGAACGGAATTTTGTAAAGCAAACGATTCATACTTGCAGCTTGCCGTCTCTAGGCAGAACCAGAGATCCAGTTCTGGCCAAATCGATCCCACCGAGCACCGCATCCACAGTTTTCGGCATTCCTACAGCATGCCTGGTCTCTAACGGGAAGATTACATAATTGTTGGTCCTCGGCACCTTGTTGTCCATCCAGTTCTTCGCGGATAGCCATTCCACATCCGGCAACCATACTTTCTCAATTCCAAACGTTACTTTGATCACACATGCGAGCACTATCGGTATTACTTGGTCGATCTGGGTCCTCATTTTCAATAAAAGAGATTACTTCGAGCTAACTTCCTTCACAGTAGAACGGCACCCTGCATTTTAAACGTTCGAATTATACTGCCAAGACGTTCCAAGAAGTTGCCAATTATTCTGCTCGGTTCGCTGAAAATGTCCCGGTTAGAACGGCGCCAGTTCTACAAAATTTATTCGACTCGAAGCTGGAATTCGGATCTCGCGCGATCGAGAATATTCGGTTTGGTCCTCGAATTTTTGTACAGCGAGAATCGCCAATTCTGAGCGACGCGGAAAACCGTCGGTGCAGTTTCAGTGACGGAAACGAGCGGCGCGGGGACGCGTTGGAAACTAAACAGTAATCAAAATCGAAAGGGGGCGTGTCCGATTTGGAGGCAGGCAGCTGCAGCGTCCTGTTATTTATCGGCTCAATTTCACCGATTCCTCTCAACGAGCCAATTTCCGAGCTGATATCCGTCGAAATCCCATCCCATCCGTCGAAACGAGGTTCCAAAAAAAAGAAACGGGGTTCAAATAAATTCCTTCTCGCCGATGTGTGCACTGTTTTTTTCTTTTTCTTTCTTGTTTTTTCTTTTTTTGAAGAACATTTATTTGATAAAGTGTCAAACACAAGTTCAACATGGTTCTATAAAGAGGCTTATAAGACAGAAACGCAGAGAAAATTCTGCTCGCGCTCACACAATTAGACGTAACGCTTAACGAACATGAAAACAATCAACTTATAGGAGACGAAATACTTCTTTGGATGGCTCGAACGACGAGTTCGATCGATTATTCGCTGGCGATCGAGTGAAATCGTTTCTCGATTGTACATTGACATCAACGCGCGACATGTTTATTTGTATTAAGTTTCAGCCGCGTCGCCGGTGGAAGCTTTCGAGGATTTCTCGGGGAAGTTGCGGTGTTCTCGCGGAGCTGGGCGCGCGCGGGATTAATTCTTTCGACTTTATTCTCTGCTCGCTAAATTACACGCTCCGTTCGGGACGGCCCAGATCCGCGGTCGAGAAGCGGAGGAGTTTTCTATTCCGGACGCACGCTCTCGCTGCGCGGAACGCACGGAAGCTTCCGAGAACGATCGTGTTGATCGACCCTGAAACGGCACCATCGGGGCCATCCGCCAGCAGCGCAACGTTCTCGCCAATTTCTGCTTCTCGATGGTTTATTGCGAATATTTCGTTCAATTTTTCGGGACAGCTTGGCGCGACATTTCTCGAGCTACAGTGATGTCTCCCTAATTGACGCTCGGATTGCGCACAAAAATGGACGATTTGGGAAGAGGAGGTACGATTGTTCGAGCCCAGCAGCTCGTTTTTATACTTGATGACAGTTCTTGATTACAAAAATAATCCGCAAGGCTCGAATAATCGTACCTTCTCTTCCCAAATCGCCCAATTTTTCTGGACAATCCGAGCGTCAATTAGAGAGACATCGCGCAAAGTTCTCCGAAACGATCGCGCGGAATATCTCCTCGAGGTTCTCGCGCATCTTTCGTTCAGCAAATGCGTCAATCGACGACCGGACTGCGGATTTTAAGATAAAAATGATCCTCCGACGATTGCGACGAACAGAAATTTCTTTCCCCCTTCGATCATTCAAACGACTCGAAAACGATGCGTAGACGTTCTTAAGTTCTTCTCTTCAATTCTGATCGCCTATTTCCGTCGTGAACGCGTAAAATCCGCAGTCCAGCGACGACACGGTCGCGCAGACGTAGGTAATTTCGCGCGATCCGGAACGCAACGCAACTTCGTTCGGGATACTTGGACGCTAACTTCCATCGCGGGCCGCGGATTTTTCCGCGTTCGGAACACAGAAGAGAGACGACTGCTTTTCAACCGAACCGATGCTCTATTGCTACGTTATTCGAAGGAAAGAAACGCCTGTCCGCCTGAACTCGCGCGAGGAACGCCCGCAGAAGAATCCGCAGCCCGCGAGAACCCGGCCGAGCGAAAGCCGCAACGCGTGATCGATCGATCTTCTCGATCTTCCCGCGCGAGATAGGATGGGAGAGATCGGGATGAGGCGTTCAAACTTGTAAACGTGTCTTTATTGTTGCGTGATCGTTATATTTCGTCTGAGAACAAAACTCTGCGACATCGAAATAGAGCTACGCCGTGTGCGCGGGCTACTTCGCCGGGGCCCCGCTCTATCCTCTTTATCCCCGGCGAAGCCAGCTCGACGAGGTCCTATTCCAGCGTGTCCTCGTCGTCCTCGAACATCCTCTTGCCAAGCCCGAAGTCGTATCTCTGGCTGAAGAGATCGCTGGGCCTGTTCCCTTTGCCGGAGGCTTCGCCGGACGCCGGCACGTAAACCGCCCTCTTACCGAGCCCGAACGAGTACGGCTGCACCGCCCGTTTCTCCGGGATCACGTCGTCCAGGTTCTTCTGCGAGCGGAAAACTGAGTCGACCGGTATGTAGTTCAAGTTCATCCTGAGAGGATAGTCCGGGTTATCGTTGCGTTTGCCCAAACCGAAGCTGTACTGTCTCGTGCGTTTTCCCAGGCCGAACGAGTACTGGCGGCCTCTCTGCAAGGTGGATCATCGTGCGCCGATTAGAATGTTTTCCAATTTAGTTTTATGCTTAATCTAAGCTTGGAGCGAAACGTTTAGTGCGGGAAGCGTGCAAGAACGGATAATGGCCGACGGTAAAGGAGAAAGGTGTGGAGTTATTGCGAAGAAGAGGGAAACGTCGGAGGATTATCAATAGGGATGGGATCAAGTTCATTTTTTTTCTATCCTCTTTTTACCGTCCATTAACCATTGTCATTCGTCTGCTTTTATCGTTCTTCATCATTCTAGTCAAATACATTTTATTTCAGTCTATTTTACGATATCTGTGTTTTATCCTATATTTTATCTTATTGTACACCATTGTACAGAGTGTCTCGAAAGTTACTCGTAATAGAGAAATGAGCGGTTCCCGAGGTCATTTGAAGTAACTTTTTCCTTAGCAAATATGCAGTTCGCGGCTTTGTTTTCGAGTTATTAACGGAGAAGCAGTGGCTAATGAGAGGCGAGGTAATTGGCGGCCGAGCCAATGAGCTTCGTATTAGGCTTCGACTATATTATATTCAAATTTGACGAAAATTTGAGTACAACAAGGTAGTCCAAAAGGCGCCCGAATTCGCGTGGAATGGCTCATACGGACTCGTTCACGTCGAATAAACATAACCTCGGAAAATTATAATTGAAAAAACATAACCTCAAACATACAAATTGATCATTGGAACGTAAATGTTGGGATAGGAGAACGGTTACTTGGATATAGTGTTAGGTTAACTACTTATTGATTTCGGCAATGAATATTGTTGTATATGGTTTGCTTCAGATTGAACTAGTTACATTTAAATACAGTAGTACAGTATTTAAATACAGTATATTTATACTTCTCGTATTTATATTATACAGTTGTGTAAATAATTATAGACTGGAAATAACGTTTACATTTTCAGCGATATTTAAAGAAGAACGTAACAAAATATTATATTTGTAAATGTCCATATTGGAAATAACAGAAAATAGTTTCGTTTTTGGTTTTTGTTTAAATGTCACAGAAAATATAAAAGTTACTTCGAGTTCGTAATTATTAATAAAGTGGCCCCTTTCAGCTGAAACATCGTGTATATTTTAAAGAACACTTAACTGAATGTATATTTGCATATTAAAAATATATATATATAAAATAGATAATAGAGATGTATAAATATGGTATTATATTAAATTTGCATTAATGTAACAGTGACAATGTAAACATTACTTTCAGCCTATAATTATTCATACCACTGTATTAATTAAATTACACTATCATATTATACCAACTGTACCAAAGAGACAAAATATATGTAGAAATCCATGTATTATTATTAACAAATGTCACTCCTTTCCAGGACTCTATAAACACACCAACAATTTTAATTTACTAGTCCATGTCCATGTCCACTAGTCCAGGTGCAAAAAATGAATCACATTTAATTTTTATATCTATTGTCGCGCATAACGGCATGTGCATGATTGTTGCAACGATTGCTACTGTATAGTAAAAAGCAAACACTGTGCGAACGTAGCAGCGATGGTACAAGGTGGTGGGGAAAAATCGATTTGATAGCTCACCTTATCGTCGCCGTTATCGTTCCAACGTTTCCCGATGCCGAAGTTATAGACTGGTAGCCTCTTGTACTCGGAGACGTAAGTGTACGCCCTCTTTGCTGGCATAGGATCGTCGTAGCCAATCGAGTCCAGCGAGTTATAGTGTTGGAGATTCAAAGAAGACGCTGGCGTCTCGTCCATCGCCGCGGCTGGTTTGCTGACGACGCTGACGACACAGACGAAAGCGACGCTGGACGTCAACAGGCTAGTTTTCGATCTCATCCTGAACATTCTCGCTTAATCTGCACAGAAAACAGCTATCCTTTAGCAGTGCTTTGATTGCAGCTACTCGGTATGTTTACTGCTAGACGATCGGTTTGAGAAATCTTGCAGAATTTGAAGGAAACTGCAGAGGCTCAGAGTTTAGAAAATTATTGTTTCTTTGTGGATTCTAGACATCTTTATGCAAGTATGCAGTGGTGTGCATGATTATGAACTCGAAGTGATTTTTACATTGTTATCGATTTATAAATGAAAACTTAACTAAATACCATATTTCTATTATTTCTATTATTTCTATTATTTTTATTCTTTCTATTCTTTCTATTCTTTCTATTCTTTCTATTCTTTCTATTCTTTCCATTATTTTTAATACAGAAATATACAAATTTGATGTTTCGTTGAGTTCTTGTTCAAAGATCAGTATAAATGTAAAAATTGCTACGAGTCTATAATTAATAATACCATTGTTTTAACCACATGACTATTATCTCGAATATAGAAATATTCAAATATGATGTTTTGTTAACTTTTTCTTTAAATATACGGGGCGTCTCGGCTAAAGAAGATCATGTAATTAAAAACTTAAAGTAACTTTGACAGTTTTACTAATATTTAAACAAAAAGAAAAGCTATATTTCCATCATTTTTAATACAGAAACATGCAAATATGATGTTCTGTTGAGTTTTCAATTAAATGTCAAGAAACTCGTCAAAATCATTTTGAGTTTCACACCACTGTGATTACAAGGACAGTTAATGCTTTGAGATGAAACAAAAATTGCGTCGTAAATTTGCCGAAATTCTGACTTTTGGTTTAAAAAAATGACTGATCTTAGGGCCGCACTGTGCGTTGGTGGTACGCGTACCATAAGTTGAGAATCGTTGCACCAGATTAACCAATATAGATATTGACAAAATATGTTAAGATAATTAATTGAACATATTCTTCTCGTATCTGCACAGCCTACAGTCTACAATAGCCTTGCTGGATCCCTATAATTCGCAAGTTTCCATTAATCTCGCACTATTTTCTATTTCGTGATATTCTCGGGCCAGCGATTTCCGCGCCATTGTGCATCGCTTACTGTTAATGGAATAACGCGTCGAGCTGTCAGAAACTACTCTCGAGAGACGTTATCAAAATGACGGCGATCTCTGTCCCGGCTGCGAACTCAGTTCCGAAGTTCGAGGCGAAATAATGAACAGATACCGACGCCTGCTGGAAAATTGCTTTCCCTTCTCTGCCTAAAGCGAGGGAAGTTTGTCTTGCCTCGTTCCCGGTTACCATCGAGTTTAAGAATCCTCAAAGTCGCGAGAAATTGAATGCTAAAAACAGTCGCATCGCGATACTCGAGGATTTAATATAAAAGTTCTTGCTCTCGCGTGATCTTATTGTAAAGCTGGAGCATTGACCCTTTACAATGAGCGAGGGTCTATAGAATATTTTATTGCAAGATTCTTTTACAAAAATCCTTATTCGGCCCTCGGATGGCACAGCGGTCTTGAACGAGGTACTTCTCGGCCAAAAATGAGCTATACTCGACGTTAATATTTGGATGAAATTTTTCTTTCTACGAACTGATAATCCACTGAAACTTCGATAAATGAAATGTTACTTTCGTTAGATAACTGTGTAATTCGACACAACGTTATAAAGTTAAAATTTTGAAATTACAGTTTAAAACGTTTGATTTAATCGCACGATTTAGAACATTTAAATACTAGTTTGTTTTATACGATGTTGATGTTTAAGAGTAGCTATATTTTTGTTGTTTAACTACGGTATAGGCACGTTTTAATTAACAGGTAAACTGTTAGCTATAGTCCTGACGCGACAAGAAGGCTCCTTTGCGTTTACATTCCCCCTCTTACTAGCTGCCCCGCTGCTGCAGCTAGCAAGAGGGGGGGGGGGGGTTGTAGACACAGAGATGCCTTCTTGTCGCGTGGAGACTATAGTTAACACTACTAATTATTTATTCACTCTTATTCATAATTCTCATTCGTAATTTTTGTTCATAATTCTTGTCGGTAACTTGCTTCCACCCAATCGAACTTAGGCCTCTTCATTATTGATGTGAAAAGTAAAAAAAATTGATATTATGTAACACTTCTACGGACGACCGCTAACAGTGGTTACGTAAGTTTTAATTAAGACGGACACATCTTTACTTAAAGACTTTTAATTTCATACGGATATTAACAAACCGCGTCGCGACATAATAATCCATAGTGCCATTTATCTATGGCAAAGTATTCCATCCAGGCTTCAATTTACTGCCAGCTGGTTCCGCTCATCCATATCGGATTCGATAAGAAGATTAATCTCGATCTCGAGGAAGTAGATGCAAAAATATATGAAAGAAAATTGGATTTACTGCATAAGGATTTACGGCGCCCATAAAATCGTCGCAAACGTCCACCATGGAACGGTTAATCTTGTTGAACAGTCTTTTTAAAAATAATATAAGAACAGTGCATGTGCTCAGAGTTCGAAGGTCAACGATTCTCTCTCTCTCTCTCTCTCTCTCTCTCTCTCTCTCTCTCTTTCTCTCTCTCTCCCTCTCTCTCTCTCTTTCTCTCTCNCTCTCTCTCTCTCTCTCTCTCTCTCTCTCTCTCTCTCTCTCTACGATTCAGCAATCCTTCAATTTTCTGCCCATAATTTGGCGATCCCCTAATTCTCTGACGTAATATTGAGTGCAAAAGCATCTGAACTCGAATTAAGCTTTTTTTCCTGCCGTTTAACGTCGCATTAACACCACAGGTCATGAGAAACTATCGATCGGTTTCTTGTTGTTTTCTTCTTTTTTAATTTTAGGATATATATTGATATCATTTTCGCTAAGGAAAAAGTTACTTCAAATGACCACAGGTTCCCGCTTGTAGAATAATATTAGGACATCCTATATATTAAATATAAAAATAGAGGAGTTTGTGAACCAAAATTTAAGTGTATCAGGAAAAGTTGCTTTAAAAAAGTCACGAACAATTTCCTGGTAGTATTTAAGAAGATAAATGTCAAAGTTTGAATAATTTAAATGATCACGAAACGCTTATTTAAGCACTTATTTAATGACATCCGCCGAGAGAGTGAACATAATTTTCTGAGGTTTCCACAAAAATCGAAGTATTTTATAAATATTGGTACAAATAAGAAGAAACTTTGCATATAGTTCTTGCGTTCAAGTGAAATTTCAAACGGGGAGAATGGTCGATTTATTTAAACACAGTAGAATTAGGAATTCATTAACAATACATACATTGTTTTACAAGTTATAATCTTTCCTATTCTAAAAAATAGAAATTCTTCGTAAAAACTAAATGCATAAAGTTCATCTGCTACCATTTCACTTCGTTTCGGAAGAAAAATATCGAATAATCGCGAAACCAACTTAAATCTGTTTCTGCATTTTCCGATATTCAACGACTACCACTGCTACTTCAAATGACTGCATTTTAGTCGTAATTTATCGTTTGATATTTGATCACCGATATTCGATTCATATTAGTAAACTTCGTTCGTTTTAATTACCTCGTTTAAAACGAATAAATCAGCATTTCGTTTGTCCATCTCGCTTTTTCACCTAAACTCAGTTCAGCATACCACGATTTCCGTCGACGAGAGAAGACATTCGAGAATGAAATTCAGTATGAAATCTCGGCGTGTCCGTTGTTACAAAGCTCGCAGGGGCGTGTTTAACGCGAAAACGTTTAAACGCTAATTAATTCGTTGGAGACGCCAGTAATTAGAAATTACGCGGTTACCAAATGAATATAAATCACCGTTAACTATTTGGTGAACGCTCGCGGCGCGTAGGATCGATTTTAGAAAGTGTCGGCGTGCGATTAAACGCTGATCTCCAGAGGCATCATCGAAAATCGCGGTCGGGCGCTGGTGAATATTTGATGGGAACCGCGGTCCACGCTCGTTCTGTTCGGTTACATTGATTTATGCGGATTCGATCCGTGGATCAGGTGTTGCGGAGGCGTCGGGATCCACTGGAATTTGCTTGAGGTCGATGGAAATGTCACCGATGGAAAAAGATCGCCGCTGACGATTCCCTTATCAAGCACTCGGTTACCGAGAACGAAATACAGTAAATTCTCTCGAATTGTCGCTCAACTTTCAGATGAAAATGGACGACTTGGGAAGAGGGGACACGATTTTTCGAGTCACGCGGCTCGTTTTTATAGTTGCCGATTGTCAACAACGAGCCGCGAGACTTCGGAAATCGTGTCCCTTCTCCCCAAGTTATGCATTTTTATCTCAAAGTTGAAAGACAATTAGGGAGAATTTACTGCATCTCGCTACCACTGTGTCGGTTGTGCGACAATTATTATTAATGTTATTGACAAGATATCTCGAGTTGCAATTTCTATTTCGCGGTGCTAAGGAAAAAACATTTCGCATCGCAATTTCCACATTTTAAAGTATTTCATACGCAATAAGAATAAAGAACTTAGTTTAGAAAAATATAGCACATCCTTTCTGTACCATAATCGAATACCTGTCTACAAGCAGTAAATGGATTCCTTATTCTAAATTTTCAGATGGAAACATTTCTACTTTAAAAGTAGATAAATGAGAGATATTTGTCCTATACAGAAATTGTGGTGCAAGACATCTTGTCCATAACACAGTAAAATATAAATTGCAGCGCGAGGTAACTCGTCGATGGAATCGTAGAACGAACGTTCAGACGCGAGATATCTCGTCCATAAAACAGTAAAATATAAATTGCAGCGCGAGGTAACTCGTCGATGGAATCGTAGAACGAACGTTCAGACGCGAGATATCTCGTCCATAAAACAGTAAAATATAAATTGCAGCGCGAGGTAACTCGTCGATGGAATCGTAGAACGAACGTTCAGACGCGAGATATCTCGTCCATAAAACAGTAAAATATAAATTGCAGCGCGAGGTAACTCGTCGATGGAATCGTAGAACGAACGTTCAGACGCGAGATATCTCGTCCATAAAACAGTAAAATATAAATTGCAGCGCGAGGTAACTCGTCGATGG